GTGTGGGGGTGGTCCGGGGCGTGGCTTCGCTGGGGCGGGGGGCTGGTCGGTCGGACTGGTGCAGCCCGGGCCGTACAGTCTTGTGTTTTCTCAACATATATTTCATATATCTTCTAATCTCTCTTTCTCATTACATTTCACTTTTTTCTTTCTCTTTCTTTTTCTCCTTAAAAAAAGCCACTGTTGATGAAGAAGCTATGATACTTATATTGAGATATTCAGTTCTGCTTTCTACAGAAGTGGCAAGGAAAAAAACAGAACAACTATAATAGTGAACAGATGCCACACACCCTTTAGAATATCATGTATGACTGTGCTGTAGAACAGGTTTTTGTTTATTTAATCTCAAACTACAAGGAACAAGGAACTGAAGTTGATACTGTGGCATGAAAGGACCCTTTCATTATGTCCTGTAATAACTAAATTCTTCGTACTGTTTAGGTGAGTTGTTTTTGGAGGCTTCGCACCATCGTGGTATCTGAATAGAAGGGAGTGCTTTTATACTTCCTTTAAGAGTCAAAAATATGATTTCTTCATAGATGAAATCTGTTCTTTAATTGTGAAATCTTTCAAAAGGTGCTGAAAACCAAAGACTACAGTCTAAACCATCTAGACTATCTCTAGTCAATTTAGCAGGTTTTTTTCAGCAGTGTCTTTGACTATGTTCCCACTGCCACCAAATGCAACCCAAATTCAATTGGGATTTGAGTTCAGGTTAGATTTAGGGTCAGGTATGTACCTGTAAGGTTTGGCGTAGAGTAAGGTGTCAAGGTTAGGCTGTAGAAATTAATGGAAGTGGATGCAATGTCCCCATAGAGATAGCTGTACTAGGCCATGCATTTGTGTGTGGCAAGCAGACTGTCGGCTGCAGGAAAGAAGGTGGCAGCACAGAGGAGGAGGAGGATGGGGAGAGGCGGAGAACAGGGCCGGAGTGGGACTCACTTTCAGCCCTGGAGTTTGATGCCTCAGACCGGCCCACTGTAGATCAAGCCATATTATTATTAAAGTTGTTTTTATAACCTCTAAATTATGGGTTCTCAAACTGGGGTCCCAGTACCCCCAGGGGTCCGCGAGCTGTGTCTTGGGGGTCCTCAAAAAATTTCAGTAAATTGTTAATTTGGTTTTTATTTAAAAAAATATATATGGGGAATAATGCACTAGTAAAACAAACATACTACACCAGACAACAAATAATATTACCATGGCATTTAGGGGTTAAAATAACAGTAAATTATTTTTGCATTAACAGCATGGAGTTTATGAGGGGGTCCCTGGAATTTTTTCATCCTTGAATGGGTCCCCAGACACAAAAACTTTGAGAACCCCTGCTCTAAATCATTGATAATGGTGCACTATTCTGTAAAGCCTTGTAATTAAATGTATTTTACAAAAATGTTTCCAATTTAGTGCAAGTGGTGCTGCTTCACAAAGCAAGATTTATTTCAACATAAGTGCACATCTCCAGAATTATTCTTTAAACACACCCTTTTCAAAAATATCAGAATCTAGACAGTATTTTGTTCAAATAGGTGCAGCGAAATAAAGTAAGTAAGTAAGTAAGTAAGTAAGTAAGTAAGTAAGTAAGTAAAGTTTTATTTTTAAAGCGCCTTTCACAGAAATATATTCACAAGGTGCTGTACACTCATTAACAATGTGCAAATGGTGGAAAGATAAAATGAAACAGAATAAAACATTAAAAAACATAAGCAACGTAAAGAAACATCAAATCAAGATTAAATTCTAAAATTGTAACTCAGACACACGGTCAGTGCAGAGCAAAATATACAATAATGCAAAAAACAGAGAATGGGGGAGAGAAAAATATGCCGTATGTTCAATAATAGAAAAACACAAAGTTTAACACATAAAGGAATAAATAAAATATTCCATTAAAAAATATAAAAAGTGTTGGACTTTCTAATACCACTATCATCTCTTTTTCCTCTACAAGGAAACAGTTCCATCATAAACTTAGATTTTATCAATCAATCAATCAATGAATCAATGAATCAATCAATCAATCAATCAATCAATCAATCAATCAATCAATCAATCACCTTTATTTAACCAGGCAGAGCCCATTGAGATCGAGATCTCTTTTACAAGGGTGACCTGGTCAAGTGGTCTGCAGCTCACGTCACATAGTAATTGAAATTTTACAAATCTCTACACTATTCTTTACATCAGATTTTATTTTTATGTAATATCAAATATCAAACAAATTAGTGTTTGCAGATATCAAATCTTTATGAATAAAGAGTAAAAACGTATTCCACTGTGCTCCAAGTTTGTTATAATATTCTAATGATGCCATTGTCTTATCTTTTTTCCCTCTGCATAAGAACAGCTTTCAAAGAAATATGAGATGGATTTATTAATTGTTATTTAACCATGCAAACCCATTGAGATTGGTGATGTATTTTGCAAGTAAGCCCAGACCTGAAAGTGACCTGTTGTACAAGTTTTTGGTCTGTGGGGAAAACTGGAGCACCTGGAGGAAATCCACATGAGAACAAGAAGAACATGCAAACTCTAAGACCCCGGGTCCCAACCAGGGATTGAACCCAGGACCTTCTGGCTGAGAGACATCAGTGCTAACCACTGATCCATCATGCTGCCAGATGATCAGAAATAATATTCCCTAAATTCACCTGCACTTGTATCAAAATAAAAAAATAATAATCTGTAAATCTTTAGCATGTTTGACATGGGAAAACACATCTTGATTTAACCATTTCATACACATTTAATGTCAAAATAGGCAGGTTTAAATCAGATTATTTTCATCTTATTCCCTTTTAATTGTGGGCTTTGTGTATATTATTTTACTTTTAATTATAAAAATACAACAGGTTTCTATTATCTGGGCCTGGAAAGTGTTTGTTCACACTTGATTACAACAGCTCACCTGTTCCCTGGCTCTGCTTCTGACACTAAATCACCTTTTCAATAATTCTCAGGACAAATCTCTGTTTTTACAGAGCCTTCCGATCATCAGCTCAGTTACAGAAATGCATTGAAACATCTCAGGGCACTTTTCACATGAAGCAGGTCTACATCATACTCTTCATTATATTAATTCTAATAATATTCAGTCAATGAGTGATCCTACCTGCACACTCTGGACCTGTGGGCTTTTGGAGCAGGATGGTTCTGTATGTTGGTTCTGACTCTGAGAAGACACAAGACAGTTTCCCAGTTATGTGGTGTTGCATCATTTGTATTATATAATGTTATGTTATTTGCCACAATGCTACAGATTCGTTGACTTGATAATTAAGTAACTTGAACGGCGGTTTGCGGACACAATTCAACATGTTGCCTTCATCGTCCTCAAACCACGACCTCCTTTTACTGAGCACATTTAGCTGCGTCCGTTTCCAGAGCTTTCCTCTTTTTAATTCTAACTTTCTCCGCACCACGCTTGCTTTTTCCATCTTTCAAACACTACAGACCGTGCGCACTCACGTGTTACGTCAGAGCGTAAAACAAAAACAAAGGGAAAAAAAAAAGAGACGAGAGCTGCCAATTAGAGGCGGAGGCAGCCCTGGGTTGTTTGGCAAGCCATTGTATCATATAAATGACAGGCGATACAGTGAAAGCCGTTTAAGTGATCAGGGCCCATATTAGGAAATGTGCGATATGGCAAAAAATTCATATCACGATATACATTATGATGGGTGGCGGTAACGATATATATCACGATATAAAACTTATAATAGAAAATAAATAAATCACATTTTAATTGAGTGGAACGTACAAATATGTATAGGTAAAAAAATTAGACCTTAAAATCTCCTTTTTTTAAGGGACACTCTCAGTAAATATATTACTAGAGGTGCAAATTACATAAATTTCAGTAAGTGTGTTCAATACTTTTTCCCTGTACCATTCCACATTATTACAAATAACTTCATTTCTGGACATTTATGGTTTGATTTCTTTGTATGTATGGATCACTTGGGTTGTTACCAACATCTGGTGAAAATTTCATGTMATTTGCACCTCTAGTAATACATTTACTGAGAAAAATGTTTACGTGTTCAATACTTATTTTTACCCGCTTTATCTTCACCTGTCTGTCACTGCAACAATAGAAGAACATTAGATAAAGTTAAATTCAATGTAAGATAAGATAAGGAAACGAAACACGATATTCCTGTTTGGAAACTAGCTCCGCAACTGTCACCTACTTCTTTATTTAAGAAGGCAAAGAGCCTGACTGGTCTGACCACCTCCTCCTGAGGCTTTATGACTGTATCAGTTCTGATCATGTTGAACAAGAGCAAACCTGTTTTATTTAGAAATACTTTGTGCGTAAATGAAAGAAACCCAAATGACCCTTACAGATGATCGCAGCAGAAACTTCCTTCAATTTAACTAAAGTAAACGAGTTATAAGAGAGAAAAGTTATTAATTTTACAAAGATGTGAAAACACCCTGATATAGAAAACAGTGTTTCCCCTACCATCATACAGGCGGGGCGGGCCCCCCCGCCAACGAGACGGCCCGTCCCTCTAAGAATTTCACGGCATGTAGCCATTTTTATTTAAATACGGCCAGATCAAGTCGAGAGCTATTTTTTGCGTACCTCCATTTCCACCTCTCGGCAAACTTGGGGGAAAAGACGGCACAGAGCGAGGCTGTGTGTGGTCCTCACAAAGATAGGAAGACGTGTGTGAGATTAGATGCGCAGCTCTGCTTTTAATCACGTAGCACCGATGCGACAGCTTTGCAAGCTACTTTTTCTTTCTTTAAAAGAAAATGCGACAGGTGAAGCCACAGCATGGTTACTACCTTATCAATAATTACTGCCTTATTTCCCCTCTCTGTGGGTGGGGGGTCAGCTTCACTCAGCTGCAGGTGAATACCTCCCGGGAACGCACACGTCTCCTGGACTATTTTCCACCGAGGATTACGTCGTATTTTATATTTATTATATTTCTAAAAGCACTTTGCAGTATTTCCCCCTGGGTGTTCACATCACGAGCGCAACACGACCGCGACGGATCAGCTGACTGTTTTTAAAGCGAGGGGCAGTAACTTTACAGCAGCTGCACCTGTCAGTCTGCAGCTCGGCTCCGACCAGCCAGTTCATACATGTCAACCCCTTCAGACGTTTAACGTGTATAAGGAGCGTCAAAAATTTGCAATTTGTGCAAAAAATCCGTATTAATCACACGCGGGTGGGATGGAGGTTCGCTGACCGCAGCTGCGCAGGGTGGGGAGGAGGAGGAGGGGTCTTTTAAAGACATGTCTATATTTGACTTTTATTTTTTCTAAAATCACAGAGTTCTCTGAGATGCCTGGAGCGGTGCTGGGTATCTCAGTGTAAATGTGTGAATATGTGTTGGATTTGATTGTCTCTGGATATGAATATACATATAACTTAAAATTTAGAATTAGAATAATATTGGATTACATTGTTTTATTTTATATGTGTATTTTTTGGTTTGTTTTGTTTTTCATCACAAACTGATAAGACTCTGAAAACCAGATGAAATGGTGAATAGGGGTAAGATTAAATAGGTTTTACTTCTTCCTACCCCTTTTCAGACATTTTAATGGGATTTACAGTATGTGCTTCATGTGAGTGTATGCATTTGGGTAGGTGTACACAGATAGGTGTGTGCACATTGAGTGTATATTTATTTTATGTGTTTATTTATTTGTGTATAATTAGTCCAAGTGGTTTCATTTCTTGTAGATATATGAAATGGCATATTTAGATATATAGATTAAGACTATGCTTTATGTAATGAATTTGACATGTCTGGAATAAAATCATAAATCAAATCAATTATGACTTAAATACATTGTATTAATTATGCTTTAAGCCATGTCACACTTTAATTTATGAAAAAAAAGACAAACACACTGATTCAAGTCAAATATGTATACAGCAAACATATGTCTAGGGCTGCAACTAACGATTATTTTAATAATCGATTAATAATATTGCAACAACAGGAAACACAGACAACAACCTGGCCTGTCTCTGTGCCTCTGCTTCTCTCTGTCACTGTCTCTCCACACTACTGTTGAACTCTGTTGAACTCTGTGTCTCGAGAGGCCTCATTTATATATATTAACAAACACCATTCTGTCATCTTAGCAAGATTTGATACAAGGTCAATGGAAAACACAAAGATAAACACAAGTGATGTCTAAGAATGACTGTTGTTAGCAAATCTTGTTCTGACTTTCATCATTCTGTCTGCAGATGAACAGCATGTCATGAAAACCTAGGTCATTAAAGGATGTCATGAATTACTTGCTTAAACACAAAAGTATTAGATCCATCACAAAGGATTTTTAAAAAAAAATGCTAAATTAAAAAAAGAAGCACAACATAAATATTTTCACAGTTGATTTTGCCAGCTATATTAAAAACTGACTGAAAAAAATAAACCCAAAAATGTGGATTTCTCCCATTAATAAACTTGTTATAGATATAAAACATAAAAAAGAAATTAAATAGGTTGCTGAATGAGGAAAACAGATAAAACTAATAAAATATGTTTTGTAGATGTAAAACTATTATTAATTTATTATTAAAATTAATTTATTTCATTTAGAATTTTCTCTTAATTATTTACGTTTTGCTGGTTTAAAGTTTGTAGTTTCTGCTTTTCACTCGAGAGTCAGACAGGGCAGATCTTTACAGGTAGAGTTTTTTTCTTTCTTTCTAAACTTTATTTAGGTCAGACAATGCTCTGCTAATCGGCTCCGCGACACGGCGAAGGACGCATAAATCCCGCAACACAACAAATCGATAATGAAATTCATTGCCAACGCTTTTTATAATCAAATTTTATCGATTCGTTGTTGCAGCCCTTCATATGTCAGCTGGTAAATTATTCAAAATTACAATTTCAACGCATCTTAAACCAGCATGTTGGCCTTTATTTGCATACCCTGATGCTATATGTGACTGTGTGACAATTGCCCACCATTTATCTAAAAACATTAAAGGGCCTTTTGTAAAACTTCAAAGTGTGCCTTTTGTTTTGTTCTGTTTTTTATTTTTTTATTTTTTTTCTGTGTGCTTGTTTAGTCCTGGATATTATCACTGCAAACATGACACACTATGAATTTTAAAAATAAAACTTCATATGGTGCTGCAATAAAACACTTTCCCTGCCAAGGCAGCATAAATACATTGTTATAATGCACACAACATTCTGAAAATAAATAAAGGCAAATATCTAAAGGGAAAAATCTGCTAAAAATAAAACCAAAGCATCCAAATGAACATCATCAAGCTTTAAGGTGTGTCTAGGAACAAGCTGTGAGGCTGAGAGCAGGTACACACAGGTGAGGTGTTGTTACGAGAATTTTTAAAATGAGGTTTATTGCATCAGTTTCTGTTTGCAGAGGGGAAGGTTTTACTGCAGTAATAACAAGCTTTATACAAAAATATGCCTCTAAGCTGTAAAATGACTCGCTAGGCTTAAGGAATAACAAAGTACAAAAGACATTTAAAACATTACACATCACCGTTTTGATGTGTTTTATTTTAATAAGACTTCTGGAGAACATGTCATGGAATCTTCAAGAGAAATGAGCTAAAGGAGGCAGGTTTTTTTTTTTAAGAAGAATAATTTAAGTAATATTATCTGTCAGGATAGGATCTCTTATAAATAGAAAAGTTTCAGAATCCAGAACAAATCATTTCATGCTGGTTGTTGCATAGTAATTAAGTAACATTTAATTTTAAAGCCTATAAACGTAAATAAACTATTACAAGGATACATAACCCATTCAAATCCTCAGCGCGTTTAAGTCAGCATTCCGGGGCGGGGTATAAACACAAGGAAAATGATTAATTAAAGCAAAAACGTTTAGTAACAATAATGAAATTTTAATAAACTTACAGAAAGTCACTTGCAGTTCAAGAGTTCGGTGATTTTCCCGTGAGAGCAGGAGATGTGGACTGTCTGATAGTTTGTTTTTTTTAAGCTGAAACACGATCCTCCCATCCTCGGTCAACCATGCGGAAGAAATCCCCCAGAAAATAAGGGAGCTGGAAAAAAAAAATCCTTCACGTCGCAACCCTTAACTAACGTTCTTGGCTATAAAAATGATGCTGCAAATTAATAATAATAATAATAAACACCTCCAGTGGTGGTCATCCAATATGTTGTTGAATTAATTGTTTCTGCACCTTCATCTCTAAATGCATACTGACTCTTCCCCAGTTTACAGCAGGCGCGTGCAACAGGTAAAACGAACACCTGCCCTCTGATTAAGCTGATGTTTCATTGCCCACAGCGCTATGTTTATTCGTTGTCTGCGCGCACAGCATCATGGGTAGTGTCATGGGTTACGCGGTAGATAAAACCCAACGCTGTTAGAGCTGACGCATGGCATCACCTTTCCCCCATGAGGTGAAATGTCCCACTGCCTTCTAACAAGCAAAGGTTCTGTAAATTATAGAGGACCAATAATGCCATAAATGGAAATAAATATAGAAATAAAAAAAAATGGCTTGATAACGTAATTGATGTGACAAATATTGCAAACATAAATTAAAATATCTGAAAGTGAAACATTAATTGAAATTTATTATTTCCAAAACAATTAATCAGGGTTCGACAAATCCTATTGCCCTACTGCCCGGGGCAGGTGAAACTCATTTTTGAGCAGGCGGGTGTGTCCCGATGCCTGCCCGACTGGGAAGGTAAACAGTTTTATTTTTTATAGGGTAATTTATTCAAAATATTCTGAAAATAAATGAAGAAATGTAGCATTTTAAAACCCGTATAGAAAGAATAAATCCTCAAATTTTCCCCCTCCTGCTGTAGAAAAGTTATGTCTTGCCGTCTGTCGCAGGATCATTTCCTCCCTCCCTCCTGCTGCAGGTCGAGCTTGAACAACCATATTTTTTTCCACACCCGTGTTTATGGAGAAAAAAAAGTCTTATCTATTGTTACCCACGGAGATGATAAAAATATGTGGACGTTAATGTCGGCTTCTGCTCTGATAAAGATGAAGATAAAAGCACCAGGAGCAGATCTACAGGGGGCAGGGGGGGCAACTGCCCCCCTGTTGTAGAGCCTTGCCCCCCCAGCAGCCCCCTATTGTTTCTTAAATATTTGCAATTACTGTTTTTTAGTCCAAAAGCTCATTACAACCTTTAAAATAAATATTTACCAAAACTATATAATTTTAAATATAATCTGAGGCCCTTGAAAACCTTAGCTACGCCCCTGTTCCAAACTCCGCCTGCTGCTCCACAGGCAGAACGTGTGTCACATGATGAGACAGTCTGTCTGCAGAGTGGAGTCACTGAGCTTCCAACTTTCTGCAGTTAAAGTACAGCTAAGTTTCTCGTGCTGATGTTTTTAACACACAACAGTAAAGTTAAGTTTGCAATGAATGAAATCTGCTAAAGTGTCCGACGTTCACGGTGTAATGACGACGGTGACTTAGCATTAGCTTATTTCCATAGTTTTGCTTACAATAAGCACGGTAACAGTTAATGAAAAGTTTAAATATAAAAATAAGGTTTCAGGTTTGCTTTTTGTAGTTTCACTGATGCATTTATTTGATCGATATCATGGCAATGAAGCATAATTTGTTAAGATTTGTTCTTTTAAAGAGTACCCAAAATTAACTTAACTGGTGAGGAGGACAAGACAAAAAATGATAAAAGGTAAGTGAGTTTATTGTACAGTGAATGGGTCCAAGTTTCTTGCTGAAAAATAAAAAGGGTAAAGGTGGTTTAGGATGATGTTCTCTGGTAAGTGTTGAATGTGTTAATTGTTATTTTTTCTTATGGGATCCAGGCGAGGAGGCTGACGAGGAGGTTTGTTGAAGTTTTCTTTGTTGGGAATCAAACAGGTACTTTCCAATATGTTTCTTGCAGCTTTCTGAGAGAGAGAGGCAGGGCGGAGGACGATGAATCACTTCAGTCTTGAAGTGAAAAACCCAACAGTCTGGATAAGGACCAACCGTGGAGTCACAAATAGGATCAGGACAGTCCAGCCTGAACACAAGGTAGGTGTAGTTTTCTCAAAGAATCAAAATGAGACCGTCTTAAACAGTACCATGGGCAACTGAATAATCCAGCGTCGGCTGGATCTCAGAAGGCGACTGAAATACTCTCAGGATTAATCAGAGCAGACAATGCACAGGTGAGTCCATCCAGTCTCCGCCCACCAAACTCTCAATGAACTGCAAAACAATTAGTCAGGAAAAAGCAGCAGCAAACCTCCACACAATTAAACCACGTTACATTTGTTTTGTTTTTAAATAAGCTGCTATGATAATGATATGATAATAATGGGCTAATTTTTAAAAATCTCGATGCTTGCACATTGCAGAACAAAATGAAGAATAAATTTAAAAGTAGAGATACTGACAGTTATTAATTTCTTTATTTTTTGCAAAAGGCAAGGGATGAGAAGGAAGAAGAGACTGAGAGTTGAGAAAGGAAGATAGAGAGACCAGCAGGGTCACAGGTGAAGAAGCTGAGGAAAGGGATGTCAGCATAAGTGGTGAAGAAGAGAAGATTTCAGAGTCAGAGAGAAAGAAGACAGTGCAGAGGAAACTGAAGGAGAGAAGGAAGGCACAGAACATCCTACAGCATTTTTAGTCTTTATTTTACAGTTAAAATATATGTTTATCAAATAAAGTCTAATGTTACAACTAATCATGGATCCCTTTAAGAAGTAGCTCTTTAGACTGAGGAGAAAGACAAGTTTTTATGTGAGAGTGGAACACATACATCCTCTGATAGTTGGAAAATTAATCCATGTTTGATGATGTCAAAACACAGATCCACATGGTTCGTGTTCCACACCGAGTGGGATTTACATAACTGAGAATTTTGATTTTAGCAGACACTGGTACTAACATGACCAACACTTAAGGCTGTTCTAGTTTCAGATTAAGGTGTACATTTTCACTTTAGCTTCAAGAAAGACAGTTTGTCTTGTGAGATTTGTAATGTTTTGAGGCTAGGCAGACACATTTGTAAATGAAACAATATCACATTTATTACAACTTGAAAAATGTACGAATGTTTCACATTAACAACAATAAAACATTAGAAGTCACTTCTTCATCTTTTGATTTCAAATACATATTACAGATAAAGTTCCTTAGTGTCTGAATGGCTCAAATTTTGGGCCAACAGCAACAGCAATTCTATGTACTGCTCTTCAGTGGGGAAATGTTCAAACTCCATGACTTGATTTTGATTGACATCATTTTATGCATTTGCTAATAAAATAGAATTACTGCTTTCATCGATGTTTCACTTCACATAAATGAACCAAACAAGCCCCGCCTCATCATCATCTTAAAATAATCACCTAACTAAGAGTAACATTTTGACATTTCACAAACACAAACAGTATATAAATTAGTGATGTGTCTTGGTTCATAATCCAAAATTAGTGAATCTGAAAAGCCAGCTCCCAATTTTGTTTTTTCCTTTTTCAATTGTGACCAATCACATGTAAGGATATAGGACAGGGGTGGGCAAACTAAATCGTTGAGGGCTGCTATCTTGCATGTTTCACTTGTTTCTCTGCTCCAGCACACCTGATTTGAATGAGCAGGTGATCAAATGACTACAGAACATGAAAAGGTAGTTCAGTCACTGAATCAGGTGTTTTGGAGCAGAGAAACAAGTAAAATGTGTGGGACAGAAGCCATTGAGGAATAGGATTGCCAACCAGAAACACAGTTTAGAGCAAATGAATTGGGTCTGTTTAACGGTGCAAATTTACTGGTTGAATTCAGGCTTGTGCACTCGTAACTACGAAATGGTCCATCGGCACTTAAAGCAGCAAAGAAACATGGAAATCGTCTTGCTTTATAAACAAATCACCTCAAATCTGTGACAAGTCAGAGCTGGATAAGAACCATGATGGTGATTGTGCTCCAACTACATCAAATAAACCATTTCATGGAGACCTCTGATGTAGAGTTGTCTTTCACAATTAACTGGAGGCAATGTACAGTTTGAAATGTAATGAGGAATATTTATTAATAAAATAATACAGATAATTTAATACTTTCAGAAACTACAAAGTAAAAAATCTGGGTGTTTATAGTCTGTGATGAAATAGAAGACAGAGTAATTCATGTTGGGTGTATTTATGGTTATGTTGATTTAGTATTTTATATTTTTTCCAGAGAATTTTGGTTAACTTTAGCACAGAAAGGCTGAATTTAGCAGCATGAAATTTGGTAGGAATATAGATGTGGCTGACCTCCACTGCACTAGCAAACGGTTTTGAAATAGACCTCATATTTCAAGTGGGGGCGCTATTTGAAAAGATGGTGTCTGGACATGCAAAAATGCATATAGCTCAAAAAGTATTCAATATGGGAACTTCAGATTTTTTGTATTTTTATTTTTTATTTTTTTGTTTTATCGTTTTTAGAGAGATTAGTACATATATGACATCATACATGTGAATGTGGTTTTGTTCATAATCAGTCTACTCAAATAAACCACTGAGAGCAGAACTGTTTTTTTTTTCCATCAACAAAACATTATTTTTGTAATGATCATTCCAAAGTCACTTCTCAAACAAATACCAGAACATCTTAAACAGCTGCAACACATATGTGAGTTCTGGTGCGTGGGTGCTTTGCTTATGTGTGGGGGGTCATCTATGGTAACGCTATGCTGTTTCTAGTTTAAAGATGAATTTAACGAAAAGCCTTCTTATGTATTATTGTTTAGTGCAGTGACCATTGTGCCTTGTCATGCTAGTTTTGTTTCATCCTGTCTAATTTTTTCCCATTGAGACCAGCTATTCAGTCTTAAACTCTAGTATTTTTGTAACTGTTATATCTGTTCAGACCATACTACACAGGATTCTCTGACTGAGCAGGGATTAGTTCTTGTAAATAAAAAAAAGCAACACACCAGAATAAATGTGTTTGTTGGCAGTGAGCCTCACCTTCAGGTATTGTTGGAGCTAAAACTGGTTTAGGTCTTAGACTTCCCGTGTTTTGACTTGTCACAGTGACACTAATCTCCATGTTTCCTTGTGTGATTCCAGTAAAGACAGATGAGTCAGACAGAAGCAAATTAATCTCTTGAAAAACATTTAACTGTAACTGCAGTTTCAGTATTTTGCTTTGAATGCAAGATAATTAAAAAAAGAAAAAGTCATTCTTTTTATGCATTAATACCAGAAAATCACAGGCCCTTATATGTTCAATTTGCATCAGTTGGTGTGATGCAAATCATTAGTGATGACACAATAACCGCTAACACGTGA